TGTAGGTCCTGTATGTCACTTATTGTAGATCAAAGACCAGTTGTGGAACCTGCAATTCTGTCCGTGGGTGCCACAAGTGAAGACAAATGTAGATATATGTGTGCTGCTTTTAGTTTTACACCTCACACGTCTCTCCTTGATTGCAGCAATCCATGAGCTCTCAAAGTGGCAGAACTGCCACCATTGGATCTTGTCGTGAGTTAAGAGCTCCCAGTGTTGAGGTCAATATTGCAAGATTGGAGGTTAACCTGGGAAGTGTCTTTGTAACATTTTCTTGGTCTGCCCCAACACAAGTTCCAGTCTACAATTCTCTGTAAACGACGGCTTTTGGTATTCTACTGACAGACATATGACCACATGACCACACCATCCCAGCTGTGCTCTTATGATAAAAGCTTCAATGACTGTGATGTTACAGCACTCAAGAACCTCAATGTTTGGTGTAGTAAGATGAGGCCCTGAAACATAAACTCTTGCATCAGAGGTCTCGTTTGAAGCCTAAGGCCTGAACTAAAGTAATGCTCAAGACTTTGCTAACATAAAGCAAAGTTAAGCAGTGAGCCAGAGGTAGGCCCTGCTCACAGAATCTGTCAAGAAGAGGGCTGATGTTGCAAAAATACACATCCGTAAAAGGTACTGGACACTAGTTATGGAAACATGTGCCAGGATGGTACCAGAACACTCCGGTACTAGCACATTCCCCACAGATAACAGGAACAGGCTGACCTATCCTAAAGACAGAGGCAAGAAGGTAATATGGTAGAGTTGTTTTGTGAGTGGCGGCACCCTCACACGTAGAAGGGTTGCACCTCTATGCGTCAGGAGTGATATGTAACTTGTTTGTACTTGTGTATAAGAATGCATCCCTGAGTGGGTGTCTTTGTCTGGCCTAGGGGGCAGTGGTAAATCCCACCACTGACTGAGCTGTGTCATTGTCAGGGAGCGCATATGTACTAGCAGAACTGTAGACATCTGATTTGGGGAGATAGAGACTGTGTTTCAATTGGCAATAAACCTGGCCGGGTGCCTTCGTAATTTATCAAAGTCTGTGGTCATTGGGGGTTCTCTCAGGGTCTGCTGTGCCAGTGATCTGCAGAGCTGGGGCAGCACACAGAGGGAACACACACACACAGCCAACTGTTATCAATATTGAACAGAGCGGAGCACCACACCGGTGACTTCTGACAACATTTGGAACCAAATCTTACCATTTTATTCCCATTATCCACCGTAGACATCATAGGTGGAATTGGTCCAAGTATTTTAGATGGCGTTGATAAGCAGTCCACGTACCACAGCGGTAGAGGAGTGTGGTGATGACAACAACACAGTAAACATCCATTTGTGTTTACAGTTTGATACTGTTTGTTCAGAGACAACAACAAAGATTTCTGAAGGCATCGCTGCTGCACCAATGTGTTTAGAATCATAGAATATTAGGGCTGGAAGAGGTCATCTAGTCCAACCCCTTGCTCAAAGCAGGACCAACACCAACTAAATCATCCCAGCCAGGGCTTTGTCAA